ACTGGAGTTGTTTGTGATATTATAAACGTTTCGAATTCGTTTATAATTGAAGATACTTTGCCAGCCAGGGCGGCATCAACATGATGTGTTGTGAAGTACTCGTCGGCAAGTGATCGTGCAAAGACGTTGTCAACCTTTTCAACGACCGACGGTGACAAGCTCTTCATCCTTTTAGGAGGAGGATGAACATCTTTCTTGTCATTCGAAGGTTCGGAAGGAGTCCTACACCTGAACAATCGAATATCAATCTACCAACAAATGGAGGAGGAAGACTTACCGTTTAGTCGGAGACGGAGGCTTCCGCCAATCCCGGACCTTTGGCCCACTTGGGTTGTATTGAATGTATCGTTTCTGAGAACGTTGGCGACTTCCAGACGAAGAGGAGGAGGAGGAGTGGTTACGCTTGTACTGATCAAACCGGTTGGGAACTGGAGGAGATCGGGGAAGAACCGGACTCATCGTGGTAATCATTTAGGAAAAAAAAGTAACCTACCAAAGCAACAGTCAACTTAATTCATCCAACATCTTAACCGAAGCAAAGAGACATCAAACAGTCAGGTTTCTACCACACTACGCCAACCGCAACACCTCGTTGCTCCGTCAATACCACACCACGATCAAATCCCAACGCAGACAGATAAAACCCAGTTGCTTAGCCGCAAGAAAGTTCGGTAATTCGATATACATACACTGAGCTCTGAAGAATCTATGACGGTGCATACGTAACCATACGGATGTGTTCATCTGAGCAGTAATCGGGACATGCAAAAACGCGATCGACAACCTGAACTAATTAGCAATGAAATTTCCAAAATCCATAGCGGTCTACCAATGAGCGCGAAGAAAAGTGCAGCAGACAGCGTAACAATTACACAGCATGTCGCAGCACGAGTACGACACAGAGTTTATTCCTCGAGCCTACCCCACTGACCGACATCGTAGAGGTACCGATGCTGATGACGATGTGGCGCCCTAAGCTTCTCGTGCTTTCCCGAAGAATTCCATAACGTAGACAACGTACGCGGCAATGGCTTCGTAGACCCACGTGTGTCTCCAAGTAATGCACGTAATCAGCCTCCCGACCACGAAGACTTTCGAATGAAACGCCGAGTAAACAAAACGTAGACGTTTCGCTAAGATCCTCCGAAACAGCTGGGCGAGCGATGGGAGCTAGGACGACACAATTGCTGTCTACTGCCCAAGCTGTGAAGCAGCCATCGGGGTTACTGCAGCCAAGAGGGTAGGAGGTCTCCCAAGGCCGCCCCTTTGGTAGATGACGTGCAAGCCGGGAGCGCCTTTGAGTAGATGGAGGACGACGCGCCTACCATGTATACTCGTTATAAGGGAAAGTTCCAATCGACGCATGATAACTCGAGGCTTCAAGCTGAGTAATGAGTCCTCGCAGTCGTGGACGATGATAACGGTACCATGAGAGCATCGGAGGACGTGAGGGGCGAGATGGGGGTGACTATAGGGCACTTTCCAACTGACCGAGCTGTGTCACCCTGCTGGTTGCACGTGTCACCACTCAGAAGTCGCGAGAACGGAGTCGTTGTTTCTCACATGGTTCTTGATAGAGCCAACGTGTGTGCAATCATCAGTCGTTTGCCTTTGGGGCTATTGATACGCCTAAAAGAAACCGGGCGGGTCACAATCACTGTGCATCAGTTCTCCTCCCGTTCACTGCGTTCGTATATCTGTAGTCGATCGAGAGGGTGCCACATCATTAACATCGGCGTACGTTATTAGTGTCCACTAGTACGTAGGATGCTGGCGACAACCTCATCATCACTCTTGAACGGTCGCAAGTTCAACAGCTACACCGATGGCAAGCACTTCAAAGGCAGCGACTTTAAGGCATTCGAGGTCTGGTTAGGGAGTACGACAGTGTGTGGTGTAGTCACAGGCTGTGAGGGATGGCAGCTTGCACATGAGCAACACTGTCACCTTGACGATAGGAAACGGCTGAATCCATCATGTTCGGCTCCACAACTGCAAGGTGTACTTGAACACAGTACTTGCTCAAGGTCAGGGCGCCCCGTTCTAAGGGAAAGAACCTGCTGGTCCCATGCACGTGGGGGCAGTTTTACATCCTTGTGGTTCGTGGCAACTCGTTACTTGATGGAGTCGTCACTGGGGTTACAGCATGGCACCGTCGCTGAGTTCGATAGTCGTTCCCACGAAGAAGTATGTTCTCAATTGGATAGTTCAGAGCCAAATTAGAGAAAATTTTCTCGTTGGATTACTCCATGTCTTTGATATCAGCTCACACATCCATTGGATTCCAACCACAACAGCCGCAGTTAATCTGTGCCTCGTAGCCGTTCGCGTTCGTCAGAGTCGATTCTCCCTAGTCGAAGGCCCTTGACCACGTAGCCCATTCCGTAGCTCTTCATCAACTCCCGGGCCTGGATCGAATGATACAAGAATATTCCATCGCGCACGCCCACCATGAGGAAACGGCTGAGAGCCAACAGTCTGAACTCGGCCCGACGTCACGACAAGCAGTAAGAACGAAACTTTACCAGTCCCACAGGATAACCACGACAGAAAAAGTGTACACGAAGAATCGCGGTGAACACTAATGTCGAGCTGCTCACAGTTCCTCATCTGACTTCATCGCACCAAAAAGTGTAGCAGAAGTTCTCTGGGTGAGTAGTTCCTGAATGCTCTCATCGCATTGCCTCTTCGAGGCTACATGCCATTTTCTTTGAGTTGTGGAAACAGAACTAAACACGAAGTCTGCCATAATAGATTATACGAGTCACAAATGGAATGTTCATCGACTTTACCCAGTCAAACAATGGCAGTTTATACAGCAATGTTGTATCGGGTACGCGTACTTGAGTGAATCTCGCTCGCCACGCTATAGATTGTCTTGGCGAGCGGACCCGACTTTTGAGGAATTCCGTGACACATGGTCGTCGGAAAGCTACAACGCTATGAATGCAAGGAAGAATCTCTCACTCACTTGCCTAATCGTCAGTGCAACGCCTAAAAAGCGGAAGCATCATGTTCAGTATTGGTGTTCGTTGGAGCACCCCCTAGCCTCACCTAAACCGGCCGAGTGGTCGACAGCGGCGTCTCGTGTTAGTTGAACATTCCCTTGAAGAGACCTGGTTGTGACCATTCCCCTTGGGCTACTGGTCCTGACCATCCCCAGTTCGGGGGGCATTGGTCTCGACTATTCCCCTTGGGCTACTGGTCCTGACCATCCCCAGTTCGGGGGGCATTGGTCTCGACTATTCCCCTTGGGCTACTGGTCCTGACCATCCCCAGTTCGGGGGGCATTGGTCTCGACTATTCCCCTTGGGCTACTGGTCCTGACCATCCCCAGTTCGGGGGGCATTGGTCTCGACTATTCCCCTTGGGCTACTGGTCCTGACCATCCCCAGTTCGGGGGGCATTGGTCTCGACTATTCCCCTTGGGCTACTGGTCCTGACCATCCCCAGTTCGGGGGGCATTGGTCTCGACTATTCCCCTTGGACTGGTAGTCGTGACCATCTCCTTAGGGACCAATGGTCTTTCTCATCTTATTGTTATCTATCTCCTTGGGGATCCTTGGTCTTGCCTTCCCTTGAGGTCTTGACCGTGAACATCCTGGTTCTGGTCACTCGTTAGGTCCGGTATTAGTCATTGATGGTTGTTTACTCGAAGTAGGCTGAGTATGATGTAGTTTCTCCAGGATTAACATGATTACCACGATGAGTCCGGTTCTTCCCCGATCTCCTCCAGTTCCCAACCGGTTTGATCAGTACAAGCGTAACCACTCCTCCTCTTCTTCGTCTGGAAGTCGCCAACGTCCTCAGAAACGATACATTCAATACAACCCAAGTGGGCCAAAGGTCCGGGATTGGCGGAAGCCTCCGTCTCCGACTAAACGGTAAGTCCACCTCCTCCATTTGTTGGTAGATCGATATTCGATTGTTCAGGTGTAGGACTCCTTCCGAACCCTCGAATGACAAGAAAGATGTTCATCCTCCTCCTAAAAGGATGAAGAGCTTGTCACCGTCGGTCGTTGAAAAGGTTGACAACGTCTTTGCACGATCACTTGCCGACGAGTACTTCACAACACATCATGTTGATGCCGCTCTGGCTGGCAAAATATCTTCCATTATAAACGAATTCGAAACGTTTATAATATCACAAACAACTCCAGTTGGAATAGAAGTCCAACTCGTCCCGATAGGGTCATACGCCAGCGGGTTGGCATCTAAAGAGGACTCGAGTGTTGACATTCTCCTCTTGATGTTTGGTGGGGTCAGTGAGAGTTCTGACGAGGCTTCTCTTGCTGAAGCAATCGCCGGTGGTCTTCACGAGTTTAGTAAATTTGACAGTAGAGGCATCGGATTAGAGGCCACGAGTAGTATCCGATGTCGATTAAAGGATGATACAGAAGATGCTACTCAATCGCTGCCCGACTTTCTCGTTCATGTCGTGAAAGCCGTAGCAACAACAAGCACCACCTCCTCTTCGTTATCCTTCACACGACAATTGTTGCATGCTCGATTGATGCGTAGTTATTCCAATTGTAGTCCATTATTAACCCCACTAGTCTGCCTCATAAGACGATGGTCTCGGGATAATCATATTAATACCAATCTTACCGGTTTCCATTGGGCATTACTATGCATAGCATTCCTACAGCGTCAACAAGTTCTTCCCAACCTCCACACTGCACGACGACGTCGAGGTGTTTCCCTAATCAAGTATGGCCATCTACCACGACAAGTGTTTACGATGGTATCTTCTCGAGAGGAGGCAGAATTAGTCGGTCTTCGATTGTCGAATGGTAGTGTTGATGATCTTGGTAACCTCTTTATTGGTCTATTACGTTGGCTTCAACACGTGGCAACTACAACTCTTCAACAACAACAAGAAGATGACGACGACTCCACCATCATCACCATCTCTGAGGAATCTACTCAACAACAACAACCCCATCATGGTAACCTCTTCCTTGCAGATCCTCTCGATTCTAATTGTAACATTTTCGCTGAGGACCAACTGTCTACACTTCTGCCGCAACTAAAAGCCGCTGCCGAGGCCTCGTGGGTCCGACTCGTCCAACAGGCCATCAGCCGATTATAATATTCTATACATTTACTTTTACTTCAACTGTCATGCGTTATTTAATAATTTCCCGGGTATCAACTCATCAATCAACACATCAGAAAATCCCAGGAGAACTTCATTAATGACTTTGACCCTTGGATTCGATTTAGCGCGCGCCATTATAATCGATTTATATAGATCGCGACTTGCCAAGATATGACACCCTATAGATTTTAACTTTATAGTGGAGAGGTGAGGGATTGGGCTACATTGAAGTGATGGCAGCCACTGTATTTGGGATGGTACCTACTCTTATAGAGAACACCTGTTCTCCACTTGATGAGCCTGTGAATTGTCATTCATAGATCCAAGTTGGACAGCGAGAAGTCTACCACGTACAAACGAGAAGTTCCGGAGTTACATGAAGCGTTGTCGGCTTCTATCGAGATTTTCAAATGCACAAGTCGCCTCGCAATAGAACATTTTCTCCTCTGAGGGTCACCCTCAGATGAATAGGTTTCCGCCCTCCGAACAATTCTAGGGCGGTCTTTCACCATCTCCACAAAATCCATGCGATCACAGATAAAGATCGAGAAAGCCGCAGTCGACGAACTTAAACTATGCTTGGCGGCTTCAATTCGTAAAAGCCTCCGCGACACCACTAATGATGAAGCCGCTGATCGATTTTTCGATGATCGGATGATTTGGTGGTTCACCTGATTAACTTGAAACGGATGTTGTTCGCAATCGTCAATGATTCGCCCATTGAGATAACACTACACTAGATAACTGCAGGAGAAGGATGCCTTATTATACTTGACCGACGTAAACTATCTTCATCATAAGCTTAGCTAAGAGAGTCTTCCACTCAAGAGAGACAGATTGTGTGCTACGTGGAATCGGGACAGCGATAATTGTGCAGCAGCATCTTCCACAATGATTCTGTTACGTAATTGTCAAGGATTATATCATAAAAAGTATTCAATTGCTTTCGTAAGGCTTCCTATGGTGCTGACACGATCATTTGAAGATCTAGGCAAAAAATACCCCATAAAATTTCAAATTCACTTTCTACTCTTGAGTGCAACTCGATCTCTAATATTCATACTCCGTGACACGAAATAGGTGTCACCATTGCAAATAGGTGTATTTCACTTTTAGTCCCTATTTCCACTCCAAAAAGTTAAAGTCTTTTAGCATGATCTCATAAACTGATTTCAACTCAACAAGAGACAACACCCAGAAACACATCAATCTCTCATGCTTTCAACAAAGACCTCCTCGCCGCTTTCTTCACTCAAGATCCTCTTCATCAAC